ATTCCATTTCAAACTCTGAGTGGGTAGCACCTTTTTTCCTGCTGCCCCCCCACACCACCATAAAAACAATCTGCAATTAAAAAACAAAATAACAGAGAGAGAGAGTACCTACTTGGCAATTTGCTCTTATCTTCTACTTGTAGAGACTTTGGAGAAGGACAGAAGAGGGATGGGATTATTTTTCAATTCTGCTGAAATACCAACTGCAGATGGCTCTTGTGGTACCTTCCCCCAGCAACACCTAGATTGTTTGAGCTACTTCCATACCAGCCAGTCATTAAACAAACATTTTATACTAGAACTAATGTCCGTGTTTACTTTTCTTCCCTTCTCATGCACCGTCCCTTCCCTGGGATCTTCTGCCTGTGGTCATTAAGCATGACATCATATGACCACAACTTGCAACTTCCTGTCGGCTTCACCATTGACTTTGCTTGTCAGAAACTGGCTGTGAAGGTCACAAATGGTGATTATGTGACTGCAGAGATGCTGCAACTGTTGTAACTGTGTGCTGGTTGCCAGCACCCAAATTGTGATTGTGGGGATGCTGCGATGGCCACAACTTTGAGGACTGGACATAAGTCTCCTTTTTCAGTGCCGTCATAACTTAAAACAGTTGCTGAGTGAGTGATCAGTAAGCAAGCACTACCTGTATGTTATTTCCTGAATTAAGCTTATCTTTATTTTCTTTCATGCAAGCACCAGCATCAAGAATACTGCTAGAGTATGAAAGTTATATCCTTAAGTTACATTCCCTCTGTCCACGCATTTTCTCTATTGTATAAATCTATCCAATGTTTACTGAAATTACAATACAAGAAACACTTGTGCAATGTAATGTAACTTATGTAATGAGTATTAAGTGGCACATATGATAAACAATCTGTAATCCTCTGTCTAGTCAGTTCCTTTACATGAAGTGACCCAAGAAACAGTTTCATGCTTGAGCAGGGATAATGCACGAGTTATCTTGAAAGTACCACAGACTGATTGTTTCCCCACTTTTTCTAATATTTTTCAGAGGGAGCTGGGGGATATTCCCGTGGACCTGCTG